GTGACCCGAGGGTCGCGGTCGACTGCGAGTCGAGGCATCATGGGCGTGGCCCAGGAGATGCAGGTGAAGTGACACCTAGTTCACTGTGTGAAGGTCAAGAACCTCTTGGCTTTCAGCCGAGTGTCTTGCGAGACACTGTATCCTCTTCGAGGAGTGATGGTGCTGCTGCACCCGGTGGTGGTGACGGAGATGTCGCCCCACCGCCCTCATCCGGCCGGGCTCGGTCGCGGAGGGAGAGGAGAAGAAGACGCAGAGCGTCTGTGACGTCTTCGACGTCGGACGATGTGTCCAACGTGACGAGCGGTGATGCTCCACGTGATTGCTGTGAACAGCTGTATACACTCGTGAACGGAGTGACGGGGGAGGTAGAAGGCGATATCAGCCTTGATACTCTGCCCGCTGCAGATGCTCTGCTAGAGCTGGACGAGATGTCCATTGCCGAGTTCGGCGAAGCCTTAAAGGCAGGCGAGCTAGCCGAGGTGGTCTTGCTGGGACCTGAGGAGGAGTTGAACTCCTCGTCCGTCGTGGACGACGCGGTCCTAGAGGACACCAAGAAGGCGCTGAGCGCAAGAAGTGGATCGGCGATCCTCAAAGATCCTTCGGATCCCTTCTACCCGTTGGTGAAGGAGTATGGAGACGTTGTCTCAAAAGACCCACCGACGGGCCTGCCTCCGGATCGAGGCGTGTGTCATGAGATTGACCTGGTTCCTGGAACCAAATACTGCGTAACAAGGCAATGGCCTTTGCCGAGAGAGTAGTGTGACGTCATTGACGCATTCTTCCGTGCGAAGCACGAGGCAGGGATGGTGCGTGAGAGTAAGTCTCCGCACTCGACACCCACGTTCTGTGTCAGAAAGCCGAACGGCAAGTGGCGCATTGTTCATGCTTTTAACAAGCTAAATGCGGCCACTATCCCGGCGCAAACGCCGATTCCTCGCAAGGATGTTCTGCAGAACAACATGGTAGGCTGTACGTTGTACAGCGCGCTCGACTTGGTCGATGGCTACTACCAATTGCTCATGAGAGCGAGCGACATTCCGCTGACAGCGGTGAGTACTCCGAGCGGTATGCTCTGGGAGTGGCTGGTGATGCCCCAGGGGCTGTCGAACGCACCAGCAACGTTCAATCGTCTTGTGACGCAGTTGTTTAGGCCCCACCGGGCGTACGCTCAAACGTACTTTGACGATATATTCGTCCATAGTCGTGCCGAGCACGGAAAGTCAGACGTGGATAACCACATTGACCACTTGCGAGCGGTGCTCGAGTGCATGCGCACTAATACGTTGTATGCCAACTTGGACAAGTGCGTCTTTGGCGCGGAGGAGATACCTTTCCTCGGGTGCTTCATTGGGAAGCGTGGCTTACGGGCAGATCCTGCCAAAGTCAAGGCCATCGTGGACTGGCCGGTTCCCAAGAACCAAAAAGACTTACGCAAGTGGCTAGGCTTAGCCAATTACTTGCACAAGTACAGTGCGAACTACGCGGAGATGGCTCGGCCATTATCAGATCTCCTTAAGAAGGACGCACCATGGTGCTGGAACGTCGAGCACGACGGAGCCTTTGAGGCTGTGAAGGAGAGCCTTCTCCAGGCTCCGATCCTTGCGCTACCGGACCCGGATAGTCCGTTTAGCGTCGTCTGTGACGCCTCCGATTTTGCAATCGGTTGTGCTTTACTACAAGCAGACGCCGAAGGGCGTGAACGCGTGATCGCGTTTGAGTCTCGCCAGCTCAAAGCTGCAGAGAAGAACTATCCAGTTCATGACAAAGATCTACTTGCAATGAAGTATGCTCTAGTCAAATTCAGGGTACACCTGCTAGGCTCTAAGCCTTTTGTGATCTTTACTGATCATGCGTCGCTACGCACTGCGACACAGTCGCCTCATCTCTCTCAGAGAATGGCAAGATGGCTTTCCTTCTTTGCCGAGTATAACTTCGAGGGGAAGTACAAGCCGGGGCGGCTTAATGTAGTGGCCGATGCGCTCTCGCGCAGGCCGGACTACGAGTTAGCTCATGTCACGACAGTGACGTCGTCAGTGCCTGACTTGATACGCGGAGCGTATGCACAAGACGACATGTGCGTAGCGCTGCTACGGGCTCTTGGGAGCGAAGAGCTTAAAGACTCGGACAAGGAATTGTCTGGGCGCTTACGCGCGAGGCTGCATCGATACTCACTCGATGGCGGCCTGCTGTACTACAGCACCGACGCTGAGGATAACCCTCGTGTAGTCGTTCCTCATGATGAGGATCTAAAGTATCGAATCCTCTATGAGGTTCATGATACGCCCGTGGGCGGGCACTTAGGTCGGGAGAAGACCTATGGCTCGGTGAGCTTGATGTACTGGTGGCCCAAGATGTATAAGTGGGTCGGCACCTATGTACGCACGTGTGAGACGTGTCAACGGACAAAGTCCGCGCCGAGCACGGCAGCGCCATTGGCGAGTTTGCCTGTCCCCAAGGGATGCTGGCAGTCCATGAGTATGGACTTTGTGTTTGGCCTTCCCAAGGATAAGGCGGGAAACACGGGTATAGTGGTCTTTGTAGACCAATTGAGCAAGATGGCTCATTTAGCGGCAGTGCCGAACACCATTGATGGTGAAGGTACAGCTTTGCTGTTTTTAGACCGAGTCTTTCGCCAACATGGCTTGCCTGAGGCAATTGTCTCGGATCGAGACCCGCGCTTCACCGCGAAGTTTTGGACGTCCCTCTTCAGAGTGCTCGGCACTCGTTTGGACATGTCCACAGCGGACCATCCGCAGACCGATGGTCAAACCGAACGCGTGAATCGCGTTGTGGAGGATACCCTCCGAAGCGTATGCGCTGAGGCGCCAAAACGCTGGAGCCAGATGCTCCCACTCGTTGAGTTCGCATTAAATAATGCAGTGCACGCCTCGACAGGCTACACTCCGTTCTATGTGAACGGCTTGGTTAACCCTCGCGTCCCACTGACGCCGCCACGCAGTGGCTCAGGGCTTGATGGGGGGAGGGATAGCCGAGCGGCTAGCTGATGTCAGCCCTGTTGCGGTTCGCAAGCAAGTCGATGACTTTGTCTCTTTGAGACTGAGCGTAATGCGTCAAGTACGCGACGCTATGGCTGAAAGCCAAGACACGCAGAAGGAACATGCAGATGCCAAGGGCAGAAGCAATGTTGAGAGGTTTGAGGTCGGTGACCAAGTTTTATTAAACGCTAAAAACCTACCTACTCATGCAGTGTCTGCAGTCTTCAAGACGAAGTTAAGACCTCGGTTCATAGGACCGTTCAAGGTCGTGGCCAGGAAGGGCCTAGCGTATACCGTATTTGAGATCTCCTACTTCAGACCCAATATTTTTGAAGTTGTATTGTTGCAAAATACACAAGATCTGTACATGTACCGACGCATCTCTATCACGTATTATTTAAACAAAACAATTTAGTTATCAAGTTATTCTTCGGGAACTACGAAGTTATCTGTCGTGACGCGTATCCACAGCATGGCGCACTACGGGCACTTCTTCCAGCAACCGTCGTAGCAGCTCCCAATCAGGTTCCCTCCACAACCGAAAGCTTGTAGGCGTATGAAATGGCAACGCGCTTGAACTTCTTGGGAGGCTTGCCAGTGCCAGAAATACGGGTTCTTTCGTTCCGTTGGCCGTGAGGGGAGTGCGCGCCATTGCGAATTTCTGGGTGGATAGTTACAGTTAGCACGA